TTGTCTTGGGCCTGGAGAACTTTTGCTGGATATTTTTCTGCAGAATTGGACTCACTGATGAAGGGAGCCAGCACCTGGCCCAGAGGTGCTGCAGCTGCCCCCTGCTGGCTGCGATGTGCAGTGCTGCTGCCCTTTCCTTTATTTTAAAAAGATTTTTAAACTGATTTTTAGAGAGAGAGGAAGGGACAGAGAGAGAAAGGTCAGTGTGAGAGTGGGCTGCCTCCCGCACGCTCTCTCCCACCGGGAATCAAACCGGCAACCCCTAGTGCACAGGACAGTGCCCAACTAACTGAGCCACACAGGGTTTGAAAAAGGAAGGGCCTGCTTCCTTTTTCTGCATCAACCTCTCCCCTTCCCAGCATCACCACCCCATTCTAATATTTTCTAATATTTTTCAGCCTGAAAAGACCAGAGTACAGGATGAGGAATTTTTAAACCATTGTATCCTGGGTAGCGACAGATACTGTTAATACTTGGAGAGGCTCACTGGCATTGGGTCCATCCGTGGGTGAGAAGTGTGTCTATGACAGGAAGAGGGTGCTGCTGTCAATGTGAAAGGGAGGGGACTCTGAAGACGAGATATTCGAGCAAAGCATCCTAAGGTACCTGTGGCCTCCTGAGATGAAGACTTTGAAAGGTGACACCACAAGGCTTTTTATTTTAAAGAGAGAACGAGATGTGTGCATACACAGTTACACTTCAGGTATCTTGGGGTCATCAGTCCAGCAACCTAATTGTTAGGAACAGAACCAAACCATGACAATTAAAGGGGGCGGGACCTGAGCAGGAGTGACAGATGTCCCGAAGCCTAGTCTCTTTCTCCTTTAGGAAGACTGTTTCTTAGAACTGGATGCTTTTGATCTCAGTGCTGACAAGCTTTCTAAACCCTCAGGAGATTAGGAGTTGCCCATTAGCTGGACCTAACCTCTATCCATAGGAGTAGCAGATAGACATAGATGGAAACCAGTAAGAGGTGACCTTTGGCAAAGAAGCAGGAAAGCTGTACAAATCAACTCGAAGTTAAGAAGCCCCCAAGGTTGGGGTCATTGAGTGGAGGGGCAGACATACTACACCTCAGAGGTCCCTGAAGGTGTCACTGCACAAAGACTGTGAATCCTACTGGATCAAAACTCTTGTTAGGGAGTCATTGGTACTAACGGACCAAAAAGAGGAGTCAGAAATCATGAAGCAGGATCCAGGCAGAAACACCTCTGGGTCAAACTTCCACACAAAAAATACGTGAATAAAGCTAATCTTCTGTTTCTCCAGTACCTCCTCTCTGTCTTTCACACTTAAGCGTTTGATTTTATCTGTTTTATGCTGTGTGTGTTTGTGTGTGTGTGTGTGTGTGTGTGTGTGTGTGTGTGTGTGTGGCTAGTGTGAGGTAGGGCTCTTGTTTAATGTGTTCTTATATGGAGACCCTTAGTCTCGAAACCATTCATCAGTTGTCCACATTAAGAAAGATCTTCCATGTTTCTCCTTTGCGGGTCATACAGAATACTTCCGATGCTAGTTGTGTGGGTGTTTTTCCCACACCAAGCAATTCTCCAATTCTCTGTGGACACCAACTGGTGTCCTACAATTCTCAATTCTCTTACTATGCAGAATTAGCACAGACTCCACAGGTTAACGGGCTCAGTCCCACAAGACTGCCTCCCTTCATATTACCCACAACTTCTTTTAAACTTGGCTACAAATTGGAGGTTCCCATGACCCCCTCCTTGGGTTTGATAATTTTTTGGAGCCTCTCAGAACCCAGGAAAACAGTTTACTTACTATTGCAAATTTATTACAAAGTATATTTTAAAGGGTACAAATGAACAGCCAGATGAAGAGATGCAGAGGGTGAGGATTGGAAGGGTCCTGAGCACAGGGACTTGGGGTGCACCACCCTCTCAGCACGTGGATGTGTTCCCCAAGCCTGAAAGCTCTCCAAAGCCCATACTTTGGGGATTTTTGTGGAGGCTTCATAATGTAGACATCAATTATTAACTCAATTTACAGCCCCTTTCCCTGCTCTAGAGAATGGGAGGCACTGCTGAAAATTCCAAGCTTATCATGGCTTCATCTTTTTGGTGAGCAGCTCTCATCCAGGATCCCACCAAGAGTCTCCTCATTAAAACAAAGGTCACTTGTGTCACCTAGGAAATTCCAAGCAGTTTAGGAAGTCTGTATCAGACATTCCTATCACTCAGGAAATTACAAGGGTTTTAGGAGCTCAGTGTCAGGAACCGGGTCAAAGACAAAATACTAGCACAAACTGGGGACAGAGCCAATATATATATCTCTAATATTATTTCACATCCGTCACACACACAGACACACACACACATACACACCCCATCTGCAGTGTGCCTTCTTCCTGGAGGCACATTTCTGCATGTGCCTGGGTCTGTTCCCGGGCTCTCTATTCCATTCCACTGGCCTATTTGTATGTTCCTGTTCCAGTACTACACTCCAGTACTACACTAGCTTTATTATTAGTGTCGAAAATTGTAGTGTAAGTTTCCCCACCTCATTCTTCTCTAAGAGGATCACTGTTCTGTATAAACTTTAGAATCAGCTTGCCAAGTTCCTTGGGGGAAAAACGCCTTCCAGTTAGGAATTTTATTGGGATCTCATTAAAATAGATCAGTTTGGAGGAAAACAGGGACATTTTTATCATCTTGTTGAATACTACTTCATCCCCATTTTTCCTGTTGTATCCTCCGGAAATTCTGTTTGAAAATGTCAGACCACCTGCCCTGGCCGGGTGGCTCGGTTGGTTGGAGCATCATCCCGTACACCAAAAAGTTTCGGGTTTAATCCCTGCCAAGGCATGTACGGGGGGCAACTAATGCCCCTCTCCCTCTCCCTTTCTCTCTCTCTCTCTCTCTCTGTCTCAAAACAAGTTAAAAAAACCACATATCCTTGGGTGAAGATTTAAAAAGTATCAGACCATCTGAGTTTCAGTTATTATGTTTTTCATTTCTAGAAGTTTATATGGTTCTTTTAATTTCTGCTTGGTCATTCTTTATAATCTCTTTTTCCCTGTTTATATTTTAAAGCCTTTCTTATTTCTTAAACTCCGTATTTCACAATCCGTGTCTGAGAAATCCCGTATCTGAAACTTTTTGAGTCTGAGTCTTCTGTCTGCTGTTTTTGCTGGCTCTAGCTCATATTGCCTTCTTTCCTTGTATGTTGTGATTTTTTTTTTTTTTACTGTGACCTTATTACTTCTTTCCCTTGGAACTTTATCTTGGGAATTCTTTGAGGCCTGGTTTGAAGTTGTTTTCCTACAAAGAGAATTTGCATTTCCTTCTGCTAACCCAGGGACACTGTAAATGAAATGTCTGCCCAAGAGTTTTCTGCCTGCACAGGTATCAGCCAACCCACTGGAGGGCCACTTGCAGATCAGTCTTACCTGAGGTGGAACCCCCACGCTGTCACTTACTGTGTGACCTCAGGCAAGCCAGGCTTTAGGAAACTGCCATCTCAGAGCTGAAGGCAGAAGGAGCCACAGGAGCGAGGTCTAAAGTACTTGGCTCCCACTCTAACTCAGCCCCTACAGAGAGACTGGACTAAAGCTGGGGCTACCGCTAGGCCACCCCCACTGGCTGGGGCAGGAAAGGGGGCTCCTCAGATGGAGAGAATGACATTCACTGCCTACCAGCTGTGTGAGAGAACCCCACGCAAGCACTTATTTATATACATTATCCCATTTCATCCTTGCAGTCGCCTTAGGTGGCAGGTATTATCCTTATTTCACAGATGATGGGACAGGCAGAGAGATTAAATGACTTTCCCGAGGTCACACAGTAAGTGACAGTGTGAGGGTTCCACCTCAGGTAAGACAATCCACAAATGCCCTCCGGTGGGTTTGCCGATACCTGTGTGGGCAGAAAGCTCTTGGGCAGACATTTCATTTACCAATGTCCCTGGGTTAGCAGAAGGAAATGCAGATCCTTTTTGTAGGGAAGCAACGTCAGCCCGGCCGAGCGTGGCTCAGCGGTTGAGCTTCGACCTAGGATCCAGGCGATCAGGGTTCGATTCCCGGTCAGGGCACATGCCCAGGCTGCGGGCTGGATCCCCAGCAGGGGGCGTGCAGGAGGCAGCCGATCAGTGACTCTCATCATTGATGTTTCTACCTCTCTCTTTCCCTCTCCCTTCCTCTCTATGAAATCAATAAACATATATTTTTAAAAAAACACTATATACTGGAACATGAATAACAAGACATTAAAATTGTTTATCATTTTAATCATGGGAATATACATCGACAGTAATATAAATGTGAAATAAACAGAAAGGTGTATATTGGCATGAGAACATTTTAAACCTTTTGTATCACACGAACATAAAATACTTAGTAATACAGACTCAACTCTAATGGGACAAGGGGGAAAGGAAGCAAATGGAAATGTGTCTCGGGGTCAATAGTGGTTACTTCTGAATGTGGTGGAACCCTTGAGTAATTTTTTCCACAGTGGCAGGATGGTATAGACAGTGGTCACAGGGTGGCCTTCGGAGTCAGAAAGTCTTGCCTGAAATTGGTACCTGCGCGGCCTTAGACAAACACCCAGCTCTCTGGGCGTTGGTTTCCCCCGTTGGGCTGTTTTGGGGACCGAATGAATGATGGGTCTAAAGTGCTAGCCTGCGGTTGGCACAGCTGGCTCCATAAATGTGGCAGTTATTATTTTTACACATCTGTATTCTTTCTAGATTTTAAAAATAGTGAACATGTACTACTTTATAATCAGTTAAAACTTAAACAACAGCAACAACAACAAGGACAGTATATGCTTTGCTGGTAGAAGTATTTTATGTCCCCAGGTTGGGTGTGCGCAGTTTCCAGTTTCTTCCTTGACTCCAAGGATGGGCGCAGAGACCTCCTAAATACTTAGGAGCCACTGCAGGGGGGTCGGGGGGCCGGGCAGTGGGTCCTAGTCCTGCCTGGGCGGGGGAGGGCGAGCTGCAGCCCTGGTTTAGAGATGCTGAGCCTCTCCCCCTGCCCTGCCCAGGTCGCAATGAGCCCCTGAAGAAGGAGCGGCTGAAGTGGAAGAGCGACTACCCCATGACGGATGGGCAGCTGCGGAGCAAGCGGGATGAGTTCTGGGACACAGCCCCTGCCTTCGAGGGCCGCAAGGAGATCTGGGACGCCCTCAAGGCCGCCGCCTATGCCGCTGAGGCCAACGACCATGAGCTGGCCCAGGCCATCCTGGATGGAGCCAGCATCACCCTGCCACATGGTGAGCAGGCAGGGTGGGGGCTTGGTCCCCGATGGAGCCAGGGGTTCATCAGCACTGTTCAGGGTGGAGGAGAGCCGGTGGCCTGCCACACCGGGAGTTGCTACCCAAGCTTGTGGGTGGCAGGTGTGGCTATTTCTTGTTCATTTAGCAGCCCTTCTGAGCATGGACCAGGAGTGAGGACACAAAGGGAAGCGGGACACGGTTCCTGTTTGCCCAGTGAGGGAATGGAAGCACAAGCCAATCTCAAAGCACTGTGATGAGGGCAGGCTAAGGATTACTCAGGGCGCTTTGGGATCTCAGAACATCTGAGGTACCAACCTTCTGTTGGGTGTTTATGTGCTGGGCACTGAACTAGAAGCTTCTGCGTCACCTCATTTACATTCATAACAGCCTGTGGGGCTGTGTAAAGGGGGTAACAGGAGAATTCTGTGGAGTCTTAGACCTAGGTTTAACATGAGTGTCTTTGTTTCCCTGCTCTATGACCTTGAGCTAGGAGCTTCCCAAATTGAAAACCTCAGTGACTTTAAATGGGGGTACCTACCTCGTAGGCCGGTTATTAGGATTCAACAAGATACCATCACATCATTTAGTGTAGTCCTAGCACTTTGTAGGTGCTCAAGGCACAGGAAATATATTTTTACATGCAGTACATTGTACAAGCAAGGAAATTGGGGCCCACTAGGTATACCTCCTAGGTAAGACATGAGGAGCAGGGCCTGTGCTATTTCATCCATCCTTGTAACCTTAGCACCCAGCATATATGCTCAAGAAAGAGTTGTTGAATGAACAAATGGAAAGTTAAATAATTTGCCAGGGTTGTACAAAACAGTACCTAGTGGAGCCAGAATGCCAGCCCAGGTCTTCCTGACTCCACCTTGAGGTCCTCCCAGCTCACCCAGGAACACATGACTGTTGGTAGGGTGGGTTTGTGACTGTGGGGTGGCCGTGACAAGTGTATTAGTCTGCTTGGGCTGCTATAACAAAATACCACTGACTGAGTGGCTTATTAAACAGCAGAAATTTATTTCTCAGTTTTGGAGGCTGGGAAGCTCAATACCAAGGTGCCAGCTGAATCAGGTTTAGGCAAGAGCTCTTCCTGGCTTGTAGATGGCCATCTGCTTGCTATGTCCTTACATGGTGGAGAGAGAGGGGATGCACTCTTGGTGTCTCTTCTTATAAGGACACTAACTCTGTCAGGTCAGGGCCCCACCCAAATGACGTCATTTAACTTTAATTACTCTCATATAGGCCCCTATCTCCACATACAGTGACATTGAGGATTAGAGCTTTAAAATATGGATTTTGTAGGGACATAATTCAGCCCCCAAGAACACTCTGACAAGCCCTGTCTTTCCCACAGGCACCCTCTGTGAATGCTATGATGAGCTGGGCAATCGCTACCAGCTGCCCATCTATTGTCTGTCGCCGCCCGTGAACCTGCTGCTGGAGCACACTGAGGAGGAGAGCGTGGAGCCCCCGGAGCCCACACCCAGCGTGCGCCGTGAGTTCCCACTGAAGGTGCGCCTCTCCACGGGCAAGGACGTGAGGCTCAGCGCCAGCCTGCCTGACACAGTGGGGCAGCTCAAGAGGCAGCTGCATGCCCAGGAGGGCATTGAGCCGTCCTGGCAGCGATGGTTCTTCTCTGGGAAGCTGCTCACAGACCGCACACGGCTCCAGGAAACCAAGATCCAGAAAGATTTTGTCATCCAGGTCATCATCAACCAGCCCCCACCGCCCCAGGACTGAGGAGCCCACGGACCCCTGGGAAGAGAGGCCAGGGAGGGCCTCTGTGGGGCTAAGAGGCCCCTGGGCTGTAGCACAGGCCCCCCTCACCCTGCTGCTGCCTTTGAGTGCTGATATTTTCTTCAGGGGCGCCTCCCCGCTGTATGGCTGCTGGGCAAGCCACAAAGGGACCCTGCCTCCCAGGGCCACCATGGGCCACCAGTGCCCGGCACCCAGGAAGCAGTGCTGCCACACAGGCCTTGCCAACCTTGTCAGAGAAAAAGAAAACTGGGGCCCTTCATCCTGCTTCTCCCACAGCAGGATTGAGCCATGAGGGCCAGCCCGGAGGCCCCTGAAGCCCAGATCTGTCATCTGGTGCCGCCAGCTGTGCTCACTCCGGTTTTCTGCTCAGGGTCTGAAGCAGCAGCTGTCTCCCTCCCCCGTCCCCACCCCCTGACTGCCCTGGGTACAGTGCCAGTGCCCTGGAGGGGAGGGGACCACTCATGAGCCCCAGGGGCAGGGAGCCTGAGGCCAGCCTCTGCCTCGCCCTGCCCCTAGCACAATTGGCAGAGATGAGGTGGTTGGCTGGACGGCTGGGCTGCTGTGGCAGGGGTCTGCACAGGGCCATCTCCTGGCTGTAACCCAAGCTGTGGGGTGTCTGCAGCCAGTCGGCCCCACAGTAGGTCCCTGTGTACAGACATATCTGCATATTTATCAATAAAGCCTTTTGCTCCTTCCTTCTCTCTTGCCTGGCTTTGATTTTGGGTTCCCCTGCAGCTCTGTGGAGCCCCAGGACCCAGTTCTGATGTGGGAGCAGGTGGGTGCACGGCCTCCCCAGCTACTCTGGATGCAGCAGAGTACAGTGGAGCAAACCGTGAGCTGCTCGTGTCTGGGCCCTGTGTTCTCATGTGTCCTCAGGAAAAGCCACTTAACCACTGAGTCCACTTCATTTATCTTTAAAGTGGATGTGATGCCACCTGCCCGGCCTCCTCCCTCAGTTCCCGGCGGCAGTAAATGGGCTCACAGATGTGAAGAAGGCAACGTCTCAGGAAGGTGGCGGTAGTTACCTGCCAGTCTGGTCCTGCAGCAGGAGGGTGCTGGCTTCCTGCTCCAACCCCTGAGCCAGGCCCTCAAGACTAAGGTGTGTGCAGATCCTGAGACACTGTGTCCTTGGTGATGTTAAAGTAAAATCTCTGACAAATTGAGAGCATGTGCTGGCTTGCCAGCAAGGGGGCCAGAGGAAAAAAGGAGCTGGTCCTGTGCTTCCTTAGGGAAAAGTGTGCATATAAGCAGAGAGGGTGCTCTTGGATACCGTGGTTTAGCTCAGGTCCGGCCACGTGAGTGTTACAGAACAGTGGTGGCCGTGGTTCACTGGCAGGTGAAACATGGGTCATGGCGACCCAGGCCGGCTCCCATAGTTCCAGGTGTGGGGCTGAGCAAGTTCAGGCCCGCTTCTTCTCCAGTTGGGAGTAGTTTTCTTTCTCTGAGCATGGCTGGTCCCCAGTCAGGGTGGCCTGACAGGGAAACGGGAGAAAAGGACAATCAGTCATCTGGGCTTGGCACTGCCCTCTGTCCCTCCCACTGGCTTCCTGTGACCCCTGTTGAAGCAAGACCCTGCACCTCCCACAGAGGCCCCCTGATGAGGTTTGTCAGGGACTAATGGACATACAGCCAAACGCAGGGATGCTTTGCTAGGGGGTGCTGTGGGACCCCAGAGAGACAAAGGCCTGCATGAGTTGTGGGCAAAGAGGGAAGCAGCTGCCCTTATCCCCACCAGCCACCCTGCCACTCCAGCCCAGATGAAGCAGTCTGCCCCTTTCCAGAGCCAGCAGGGCCTGTTCAGAGGACAGCCCACAACACAGGACTGTCTTGGGTCCCCACATTTGGCTTTTAGGCCCCCTGGCTAGCACTAGCTGGGCCCCCTTGCCGGCAAGCCAGCACATGCTCTCAATTTGTCAGAGATTTTACTTTAACATCACCAAGGACACAGTGTCTCAGGATCTGCACACACCAGTTTCCAGGTGTCCAGCAGGTGGCACTGCCATCGGGGCTAGGAGCAGCCAGTGGGCCCTACGTGCAGCCCAGCTGCCCTGGCTAAGGACCAGCTGGGCCCAAGCACTCATGACAGGCTGGGCAGGCTCCTTCCGATAGCCCCTGCTCTCGGGGTGCTGTGCCCTCCGGCTCCAATAGGCCAGGGGTTGTGGGGGGCAACTGTCCTTGCCTCCCCCTGCTCCCTGGGGCTGCCCGGGGTGAAGGTGACAGGTGGGGGAGGCAGGTGGAGATTTGAGCCGGTGAGCTCATAGCAAAGGCGCCCAGCAGGGCGGGGTGGGTTCCCTGGTCTATAAAGCCCCCGTGGCTCTTGGCCCGAGGGAGCGGGTGAGGGAGCGGGTCATGGACGGCACCATGGCGGGCCCCGAGGCGGTGCAGAGCGCCACGGCCCTCATCGAGGAGCGGCTGGCGCAGGAGGAGGCGCAGGAGGTACCGCAGAGGCGCGGGGGTGCGGGGCTTCCCAGGAGACCCAGCTCTGCTGTCAAGGGAAGGAAGAGGCTGGCTGCCACACCTGTGGCGGGAAGGGGGACAGGTGTCCCTAGAGCTCCATTCCAGCCACAGGGTGCTCCTGGTGGACAGGGTTGCTGGCGGTGAGAGACTGAGGCGTCGGCCCCAAGAACTGAGGGACCGAGGGGCAGTGGGGTGGGTGAGCCAAGCTGGGCTCCCCGAGACCCTGCCCACCTGCCTGGGCCTGAGGCAAGCCCACTGCCTGGGAATGTGGGCCCCTGAGATCCCCCAGTTTCTGGGTGGGAGACAGTGTTTGTTACTGAAGAAGAAAGGCTGGGAGCAGAGGGAGGGAAGGAGGGCTGCTGGGAAAGGAAGCATGAGTTTTCCCAGGACTGCCAGCCACACTTGCAGGGGACTTTGGAGCATGGAGCTCTGGGCAACTGCATTTTCTCTGGAATAAGGAAATTGCGGGAGGAGCGAGAGAGCTTATCCTACTCTTCATTTTATTTAAACTAATACTTGACCTAGAATCTGTTCTGCCAAGTGCCCAGTTCTGTGAGGACTGAGAGGACCTGTAAGGCCGGCCTCTGCCTCCCTTTTACCAACCTGCATTCATTTTAGCCAACATTTGTCAGGTGCACAGTTTACTAAGAAACAGCAGAGTGAAGGAATGGTGAAATAGAGATGTTAAATCAGAAAGAAGTGAAGGAGCACAAAAGGTGGGGAGGTCATTCCAACTGTGGGCCCTCAAGGACTTTGTGGACAGGATGGCATTTGAGCTCGGCCTTCAAGAATGGTGAATGGCGATCAGGAGTGGGGAGAGTATTCCAGGCTGAGGAAAAGACAGGCGCTGAAGTTTGGGAGGGTGAAAGCATGACTGTTATGAGAAAGTCTGGTAGCAGGGGCTAAGGCTGGGAAGGGAGGCAGGACAAAAAAACAGTTTGGGACATGTGAAAGATACTTATTCTGTGGGCAGTGGGGAGCCACTAAATGTTATTGAGGGAGGGAGGGTGGTGCCTTCTGACCTAGTTTAGAAGGCAGCTCTGATATTCCTGAGAAGGACTGGGAGGGGAAAGACTGGCCCTAACAGGAATGGGAAGGAGACAATAAATCAGCTTAGAGTTTGACTCCATTCAAAAGAAGAAGAGCGACTGAGTGGGGTGAGGAAGTGGGGAGGATCAGGACTCCAGTGGAAGAAGAGATGAAGGCTAGGACAGGGAAGGCAGGCTTGTCGGGGAAGAGCTTGGACTGAGCCTGCTGAGTCTTGGCCTGGGAATCCCTGGATGTCCAGGAATGCCACTGCTCATTCCCCCAAGGGCCTGTGCATCAGTGCCAGGCAGGTGAATCATGCCACTGTGCCATTTTTGGAGTGCTGGATACAGAGACCTTTAGCAAGGAGACATGGGGCAGTCCTCATCCATTCATTCATACAACAAATATAGCAGCAGGGCTCTCGGGACACTGGGTGCCCACAGAGCCAGCCTTCCCATCGAGTACCTCCAAGTGCCAGGCGCTATGCTAAGTATTGCACAGGCATTCCCCCATTCCATCTGTACAACCATCTATGAAGTAGAGTGGAAGTTTTGTTGTGTTTCACCAACTAGCATCCAATGCAATAAGCATTTATTGAGCACCTCCTGTATGCCAACCCACAGAGCCGAATCTGAAGCTGGGGCCATAGAGTCTGGGTAAGATGTGAATGAACATTAGAGTCCCCATTTGTTCCCACCAGCCCCAAGCCCAGTAGGGTCCTCAGAGGAGAGCCTCTGTCCAGCCTGTGCCTGCTTCTTGGGATGGGAGAGGAAAAGGGATCCTGGAGACCAGCCTGGGGATGAGACTCTGTTGTGGGGCACTTACTGGGTCAGGTCATCACTGAGGACTTAGGGGCGGGCAGAGGTGCTGAGCCCACCTGCAGTCATCCATTCACTCGTTCACTTATTTATTCTCCAAACATCCCCCGAGCACCTGCCATGTGTTGGGCCCTGTCACAGGCGCTGGGGATACCAAGATGATTAAGATCCAAGCCCAGCCTGTCGCTGCTCCACGAGGAGCCCAGCCAGGCTGCCACATGCAGCAGTAGCTGCAGCCCGAGGTCAGCACTAGGGAGACTTCAAACCCTTGTAAGCCCCACGTGGAAGGGAGAAGCCAGTAGACAATAGGACCCCCCAAATAAAGACCTGGGAAATCAGCCTTCAACGACCCTTGAAGAGTGTAACACCAGAACTCAGTGGGAATTGATAAAAAGTGAGCTGAGAGCTCTGTAAGGGTGGCCATTCCTCCCCAGCTGGCATCTTGATCAGCGCCCGCGCAGCTGGGCGACTGTTCCTGGTGGCTGGGACCTCAGGGGGGGCGCCAGCTCTTCACAGAGTGGGTCCTCTAGGAGAGAGGGAGGAAGCAGCCAGGCAGGCAGAGCTGCAGGCGGAGCTGAGACTGCGAGGAGTCTCACCTGGATTTTCACAGTGGGAATAAGGTTATTAGAGTCCGCTTCAAGTGAAAGCTGGGGACTTTGGGCTCCCATCTCTTGGGTTCCCTGAGAGCAACAGTTTCTACGCTTTAAGAGTTCATGGATCAGTAAAACCTGAGGGGAAAGAGTTGGTATCTGACATAGATTTGCAAATTTTTATATTAAGCCATTAAAAAAAATAACTATCATCTTATCACAATTATTTCATCAAAGTAAAATTTTAAGGCCGAAGAAGTTTGAAAAATAATCTGAGTGCTTGAAAAAGTGAATGTATTTAGTTTCATGAAAATTCATTCCAGTAGCTTTTAATTCTGTTTGGCTGGGGACTCAGGGCTGTCAGGGGAGTGGGGTTGGGGTTGAGAGAGGGGACTAAAACTTGCCCCCTTGGTGTGGAGAGGGCGTCTCACCAGGAGCCCTGCTCTGGCCAGGGGCCTCCAGGAACAGTCAGGAGTGGGCAGAGGAAGGGCTCTGAGGCCACGCAGGAAAAAGTCCTTGGAGCGTGTCCTCGGGGTGGTTAGGGGAGAAGCTACCTGCCTCCCCAGGCTCTGCAGACAGGCCCTAGAGCACGTCTTCTCCTTGGCTTGTCAGAAACTCCGAGGAACTGCCCACCAGAAGCTGTCCATGGACATGCTGGTGCTGGAGGACGAGAAGCACCATGGGGCTGCGAGTCTGGCCTTACAAAAGGTTAAGGTAAGTGGGAGGAGAGTCCAGCGTCTGCGCTTTGGCCAGGCGGCTATGGCCTCGCTCTTCCTGGTGTGGCCCTTGAACCAACAGCTCAGC